AAAAGGAAATGAAAATAGAAAATTCAACATCTTTATTTTTTTTTTTTTAAAAAAAAATAAAGTTTATATTTATCCTTATTTATTAAATTATTTCCTTTTTTTTTCTTTAATTTATTTTATTTCCATTAGAGAAGAAATTTTTAATTATCTTAATGAGTAGTACAAAAATAGTCCATATTATAAATATAAACAACAGTATGAACAAGAAGAAAAACAAAAAGAATGTGAAGAAAGAGAAAAACAAAGACAGTGTGAACAAGAAGAGAGACAAAAAGAACGTGAAGAAAGACAAAAAAGAGAAAATAAAGATCGTGAAGAAAGACAAAAAGAACATAATATATATTGTTTTATTATTTTAATTTTCTTTATTGCATGTATGGAATATATGAAAAGAAATTAAAAATTATATATATTTTATTATTTATTTAAATAAAAATTAATTTTTATCTTTGAAATCATTTAAAAAAATTACATGTTTTTAGAGTGAAAGTAAGCGGTTAAACAAGTGATAAATGCAGTTGCCACAGATGCCACTATATTTTCCTAATATAAACAAAAAATAAAAACTAACGTAAAAATAAAAATAAAAAAAAACATTAAAACAGTTATTTTAAATTGTCTTTCTTTTTCTTTTTCTTTCGAGTATCGATTGTAAAGTTTGTTAACTTGATTGTTATGTTCAGTTATGGAAATGGAATCATTATTTTTAAAATATTCACTGGCCCAATATTCACTAGCCCATTTGTTTAAGAATTCATAAATAGTTTCTCTAAACAAAATAAAATATTTAATAATTTATTAAATTAGAATAAAATAAATCAAATACTTACTTTTCCATGATGAAAAATATGCGTTGAGATAAAGCTATTTTAAAACACGTAATATAAATCAAAACAATTTATAAACTAACTACATTTATATATAAGATTAGTAAACTAATCATAATAGATTTTATTTAAAATTTACATTTACTAAAATAGTTTCATTCTAATTAATGTTGATTACCAATCACATATATGTAAATGATTGTTGGAATGTGTTAGAATTTATCTACAGATCATGTTTTATTAAATAGAATTAGATATAAAATACAAGTTTTTACAGATAATATTTACATAAAAACTACAACTAAACACGGTACTCCCAGTAGCCCTCGCCATCAATTACCCTCTCATTTCTCGACGAAGGGCTCACTACTACATTCTTAAAAGTGGTGTTCCTCACCACCCGATATGCTTCCTCCATCTTCCACTCGATGTTGACATTCGATACCTGTCTTATTCGAACAGGTATCCTGTCAATATCCAACCCTTGCTTTATCGCCTCCTTGAAACAATAAAGCCTTCGATTGTCTGATGAATAGAAGATATCCTCTATCAAACAGATGTTGATGAGAGGGAAATCTTCTATTCGAACCTTACCATCCACCAGATCCTGGATGGTGTTATCAAGGTCGTTGCCCATCTGGAATATATTACTTATCGAGGCCTAACTGTAATGTACCAGGCACGAGTCAATGAAGATCACAATGTCTCCCTCCGAAAGATTTAACCGCAGCAACAAGAATCTCCATCGGAACAGGAACAAGAGACCAAAGATCCACACCAACATCGTCGAAAATAATGACGATAACAGCAACAAGATCACTAATATTCACTCAAAAGTGTAATTTCTAAATGGCGTTTCTTTAATCTCTACCACTGAAAAATCTTTTTGTTCAACTTGTATTGAGGAAGGTTCAGAATCTTCTTTAATACTAGTTGAACCAGACGGTTCTTCAACATTCCACTCCTCTCCTTGATCAAAATCCGACCATGTATCTTTATAAATCTGCTCTTGAAGAGGGATCGATCTGGTAGCAACGTTAGATTTCTTGGTAAATTTAGCAACGAATTTTTTGAGAGAAGGCATTTTAGAGAATAATATTTTGTAAGATTGTAAAAATTCAAAAATGTAATTTGTCATAATTAAATTTTTTATGTTTAAATAAACTTTTTTATTTCAAATAATTGGTTCTTTTACATGAGAATTTTTAAGTTTTTCCATAAAAAATACAAGTTTTAAGATCAACATCTCAGAACGAAAGTTTAAATACACCAACTCAAAATTAATAATGTTTATTCAAAAAAGTAAAAATTTATTAAAATAAAAATTACATAAAGATTTTTACATTCTGGTTGATCAAGAATGAACAGAAAAATATACATTCTCGATCAACCAGAACATAAAAATCTATCAGAAAATAAACAGATCAACTGTCTATTCTCTTTACA